AAATTGTAAAAAATGGAAGTTAAACATTGTTTTGCATGTGACTGGAAAAATATAAAATACTGAAACTTAAAAAAAGAAACAAAAAAAATTCTTATGTCTTTTGTGTTAAGGCAAGGAGGATTTGTCCACACACACCCTAGCCAAAAATTGAAAGCAACTGTTTTCTTAGGGTTTGTTGTTGTTCAGTTTTTTTCTGTTGCGTCCAACTCTTTGTGACCCCATTTGGATTTTTTTTTTGGCAAAGATACTGGAGTGGTTTGCCATTTCCCTCACCAGCTCATTTTACAAATGAGGAAGCTGAGGCAAACTGGGTTAAATGACTTGACCAATGTCACACAGCTAGTAAATGTCTGAGGTCAGATTTGAACTCAGGAAAATGAGTCTTCCTGACTCCAGGCCTAGCACTCTACCCACTGTGTCATCTAGCTGCAGCAAAAGAGAGAAATGTAGAAAAAACTATCTAAGGCAATAGGGTTCAAGTGTAGAAAGCTATGCCTGTCTTCCTCCTCCAACCCTACTGAAAATTTTCTTCCTAGCATCTTTTCTTTTGCTCTGTGACTTAGAGGTAGTGTGGAAGAGTAGATAGAGACCAGACTCGGAATCAAGATCTCTGCCCCATACTAGCTGTGTGACCTCAGACAAGTCACTTAACCTCTCACTGCCTCAGGTAACCAACTGCCTAAGACAAAAGGTTGTATAACAGTTGCTACTAGGCATTGGTAGGGAGAACTTACTTGGCAGAAGATACCAATGAAGTCACAGGTTCAAGACAAAAAAGAAAAATTGTATCTAGCAGAGCAATAAAATATGCTTACTACAAAAAAGAATGAGTGCTGTATTTGCAGTAAAGGTTTGAATTTTGCTTCTGCCAATAAGAAAACCAAATAAAACAATTTATACTAGGCACCTCCACGTCCCTACCTCCCACTCACTTCTCAGTTCCTTGAAATTTGGCTCTAGATTTCACCATTAGACAGAAACTGCTTTCTTCAGTGTTATCAGCAATCTCTGAATTGTCAAATCCAATTACTTCCTTTAAGGTCTCTTCCTATTTGACAATCCTAAATACTTTCTCCTTGGTTTTTGTCACACTGCTCTTTGGGCAGCAATGCTAGGAGCAGTATGCTAAGACAGTAGAGAGAACCCTGGCTCTAGATTTAGAGGTGCTGGGTTCGAATCCCACCATGGCTAAGACATTTATTCTCTCTAGGTCTCATGATGAGTAGGTTGGGGTAGATGATTTTCAATTTCCCTTCTGGCTTAACATTTTTGATCGTAGGATATTCATGACTGTGACATGAGTGGAAGAAAAAAGAAACAAAAAAAGATTTATGTGAAAATAATTCTTATTGTCATAAACATCATCATGAGACTGAAAAGTAGCAAGTAGAATGAAATAGTTTGAAAATTTTTAAAAAGTATTTCTTAGGATTTAATTAGTTTTACAATTAGTTTGAGGGAATATTATGTGAGTGTCCCATTATGTTCATATTTAAAAGCTAATAAATATCCATGTGACAGTTTTGTTGTTATTTGCTTGTTTTTACAAGAACACATTTTGGGGGGTTTCCAGCCAGCCTAATCATAATTAGGAAAGCTGACACTTCCTTTGTTGAAATCTTCATCCAAGAAAATATTTGACACAGTTCAATATTGATAAATTAAAATCACTTTATTCAAAATCCATTAAACAAAGACATGTTACTAAATAATGATCACTAGAGGTAGCTCTATCAACACAAAAGTGGTCAGTTGGAAGAAGGCAAATATAATGATGGGTTAGGGTGTGCAGTCACCTTGGTGCATAACCAACACACAATCCCATTACTCACTTCCTGACTCCTGGGCTCTTTTCTTCTAATTCATCCTCCTTTGAGTTAGACAGGGTAATGTGCTAATGCTTGTAAGAGCCAGAAGGAAACTTAGAGACCATCTAGTCAAACCCACTAATCTTACAGATAAGAAAACTGAGGCCTAAGGGCACAAGGTCACATAGGTAGTAAGTGGAAGAACAAGGGCTGCAACTGTATTCTTTAGACTCCAAGTCCTGTATTTTCATTCTAGATGGTCTGGGTACCTTTCTCCTTTTGGCCTTCTCTAGCTAAAATCCTTTTCTTTTACAATCTATCCTAGAAATTAGGCTGTCCAAAATAAAGGCAAGCCATTTTATCTCTCAGGGTCTGTTTTTTCATCAGTGAAATGACATAGGAGGCCCTCTAAGGTCTCTCCCAGAGCTGTTATCCTATGATCCTAAATTTGTTTCTCATCATATATATTCTGTAACTTACATTACATATATATTCTGTAACTTACATCACAGTGGCTATTAGTTATCCCATTCTCTCTATTTGCCACTTTTCATCTTTTTAGACCTTATTTCAAAGTCAGATTATTGTTTTTCCTAGTCCTAATGATATTCCCTTGTATAAAGAAAGTCATCTGCCCTCTCTTTTGTTTGGAATTTTGTTTATGAAACTTTCACATTGACTATGAGTCTCAGATTGAAGTCAGCAAGAGGGAAAAAAAGTGATGCTTTTCTGTACTGCTTCAGGGTCTGAGGACTCTGAAAACTTTTCTGATCTAAACTGCCACGGCCTTAAATAATCCTGTCAAGTTGCATCATTTTTAAAGATAAAGAAAATATATCATCTAAATTTCTAACTCTGCATTAATTAATATAGCCCAAATGGAAAAATGTTTTAATTTGACAGTTACTTTTGAAGAAAATATTACTCAGATGTGGGTCATATATTTCCCCTGGACACTTTCTGTCTGTGTGTCCTTTACAGAAATTTGAGATACTGTGTTTCCTTAACTAAACCCTTATCTACACAGGCACATGAAATCATCAGCCTTCCTTCCCCTAAAAACTTACTGATTTGGTAAAATGATATCTATCTACATATGAATGAATGTAGCTTAAATTTTAACATCTTGAAAAGTAGAAGTTTTTAGGAGAAGGTTTAGTGAATTTTGTTTTAAACCTCCAAATTCATTCAGCAAGAAGCTACATAAATATATAGAAGATACAGAGAGTTTACTTTGCAACCAAGTACTCATGCTACACAGCACTGCAAAAGTTATGTATTTCTCTAAGAAAATTTTCTTGATCTTGCTTTGATATGAAAAATATCCACAATTTTTCTGTCTCATCATGCAAACAGAATATTGGCAAATGGTTTCAAAATTATGACGGTTAAGGTTATTATACACAAACTTGACTTTTAAACAATCTAAAATATAATAGTAACTGTTAGTTATTTCAAAGCAAACACTTTCAAACTCTTTTACCTTAGATTTTTAGAGCTGATGAAATTTTACAGGTTAAACAATAATGCATAATTATAAGCAAAGTTTTATATATAAAATCAGCAACAATAGCTTTCTTAGGTTTAGTTCTTTAACATATGTTCCCATATCATATAATATTTTCTAAAAATCTGGATTACGTTAGGATCAAAGATACACCTAGGATTTTTGCTCTTAGTATCATGGAATTTAAAGCTGGAAGGGACCTTAGAGATCACCTAGTATAATCCATTCATTTTATGGAGGAGGAAAATTTGAAGTTAATTGACTTGCCCGAGGACATACAAGCAATTCTTAGCAGAGCCATGATTCAAACTCAAGTCATAGGATCACAAACTTAGAACTGGAAGAGAGCCACAGAGTCTAACCCCATTTTACAGATGAGGAAACTGAGGCTGAGAGAAATTTACTTATCCAGAGTCGCACAGCCAGTATGTGTCCAAGACAGGATTGGAACTCAGGTCTTCCTTACTCTAAGTCCAGCACTAGTTCTAGCTGCCTCTAGGTCCCCTGACCTAGTCCAGTGTTCTTTCCACTATTTAAATAAGCTTTTGTATACTTGTATCAGTTGCCAAATCTGATACATAAATAACATGCTAATACATTCTCTAATACAATAAGAACATTCTCTAATACAATAAACAGGTTTTTAACTAGTTTCTGTAATAATAAGAAAGCGATGGTATTTTAAAATAGCGTTAGTTTTAAAGGTTCCAAAATCTCCCAGAGAGAAAATTGGAAAGCACTTTGGCAGAACTTAGGTATACACCAGAATCTTATGCCATACAGCTCAATAAATTCCAAATGGATACAAGACAAAATATAAAACATCACATCATAAAAAAATAGAGAAAAATGGAAGGAGATACGTTTCACAACTATAAATAGAGGAAGAATAACAAACACAGACTAGAGGTGATCATAAAAGACAAAATGGACAATTTTAAGTACATAGAACTAAAAAGCTTTTCCACAAACAAATCAATGCAGCCAGAATAGGAAGAGAAAAACTGTCATGGGGGGAAAAAAGAACTTTGCATCAAATATCACTAGTAAAACATCTGATACTCCAAACACATTGGGATTTAACATAGATATATAACATCATGAGTCATTCTCCAGTAAATAAGTGGTCAAAGGATATTAACAGTTTTCAGAAGAACAACTACAAATTGTTAAGGGCCATATGAAGGCAAGCTCCAAACCATTAATAGGAGAAATAAAAATTAAAACAACTGCAAAGATGCCTAAAAATTGGAAATAGTCACTGGCTAAGGGAGAACAGTCATCTTAATACTCTGTTGATGGAGCCATGAACTGGTTGAACTGTTTTGGACGATAATTTGGAAATATTCAAGAAAAGTCATCAATCTGCTCATACCTTTTGACCCACTGTTGCCATTCCTGGAGATATATCCCCAAGAAGGTCAAAGACAGAAACAAAGGCCCACTATACACGAAAATATTCATAGTAGTACATTTTGTGGTGGTAGAAAACTGGAAGTGGTGTCCATTGATAGGAACATGGCTCAACAAGTTATGGGATATAAGTACAATGGAATATAGTTGTACCATGATGAATATGGGAAATTTTGAGAAACATTAGAAGATTTATATAAACTGATGCAGAGTAAAGTAAGCAGAACTAAAAGTTCTGCTTACTTTACTCTGCATCAGTTCGTATAATACAGAATATATAGAACATAATATAGAATGATACAACAAAGCAAATGAAAAAGATGACTAAAAGGCAACTGAAACTTGAGTAACTGAAAAACCAATAATGGTCCAGGAGAATAGATAATGAAATCTGTTTCCCTGTTCATGGCAGAGAGGCAGGGAACTATGAGGACAGGATTTCATTGTATCCACTGGCAGATGTTTTCACTTTTTGCTTAACAGTTTTTCTTTGTTACAAGGGAGTCTTTCAGTTGGATGGGTAGGTGAGGGAATTGGAACAAGTATTTAAACAAAGGGCATAAATAACATGTTTAAAAAAATCTCCAAGAGAAAATACCACTTCTTGTTACAGGACTGGAAAGTAAAATTGAGTTAGATACACAATAAAAAGAATTTGTTTTAATGGGTTACAGAAATTTCTTAGAAAAACTGTATAGGGAGTTACAGTTAAATAAGCCAATATACAAAAGTCACTTGTTTTGGCCTTATTTCAAAGATTTCTCCCTGTCCCCCAGAGGAATGTTTAATTCTTTCTTTCTGTGGGGAACTCTGTTTTGCCTAAAGGGTAGCAAAATAAGAGAAATGGAAAACGCCTTTTAAGTTTCACTGAATATTTCACTTAATATTGGAGTGGAAGTTAGAAGCACAATCTTTCCCAGATCAAGATGAATTAGTCAGGATTGAGGATTCACTATGTGACTGTGGCTTGGGCGATAGGAAAGCAAGGCCAAGATATTCTCTTAGTCCTGCCTCCCAACAGTGACTGCAAGCACAAGGCCTTCCATATTATGTGCCCAGAGCCATTTTGACCACTAGGGGCCAGTAATTGCTTTCATCATTAACTCATTAATTGAAGAAAAACAGAAAGTTTAACAGTGGTATAAATTAAACCATATTTCACTGCAAAATTAAATAACAATTTAATAAGCTGCCATAAAGTGACATGTTCAATCATACTGGGAGTCTGTATACTGAGTGCCTTCCCCCAACACTCCCCTCCCCCGCCTTTTTTTTTAACTTCTCAATTTTTAATCACAAAAGGAATTCTATTAGAACATCACTATGAACCTCAGAGTAGAATTCTGTATAGGATGGGTCAGTCATGAGGAATAAGCTACCAAAGTACCAAGTGAACCTTATTAAAAGGTAGCCTTATCTATAAGTCAAGTCCATGGCGTGGCTCTTCTGTGAAATACAGAGCAAGCTAATGAATTTATACTTCCTAGCAAGTTTCTACTGTACACATTTTCATCTGTTAACTTTCTAGAGTTCTGAAGTTGGTTTTAAATCACTTGTACATTTCACTTAATGTGTTCAATAACACTTATCATGAACAACAATAATTCTCATCCACAAAGTGAAAAATTAGATTATTTACCACTAGTACAAGTGGTATTCTTTATACCAATTATAAGTGGTTTGTTTGTTTGTTTTTAAACACTTCTATGAGCAATTTCTTTTTTGATTTACATTTTCTTGCTTAATGCAAATATCTGTCAATCATAGGTGGTCATTGCCAGGCCTTCTGTCCAGCTCCAAGTCATAGAATAGATGACTTAACAAGATGTTCAAGAACAAGGGAGGATTCTCTTTGGAGCTTTTGTAGAGCTCGATTATCAGCACAAGTGTTATGTACACTTACTCAGATTCCTCCTTTATCCCCACACTTCTCAATCCACATCACCAACCAACTAGATCATACTGGTCCTACAAGTTAGGTCCATTATTCTTCCTTCTCAACAGAGCAAACTCTAAAGTTTTCTTTGAGTTATTATGCATCCTACAACCAATCCTTCAGGTCACAGAAAGTACACCATGCCAAGGGTATCCAGGGGAGTACAATGATTGTGTCTGACAGGGCTTGTTAGCTACAATTGGGTAATTAACAGAATTCCAAGTTTTGAATTTTCAAATAAAGATTATTCATCCAGGAAAGAGTCTTTACTTATCTTGTTGTTACAGTCTGACACCTTTACCTCTACCTTTTGCTTCCCGATCACAATGACAGGAGAGATAAGAAGAGGAACAACACAACTGAAGCCAAGGTTTCCAAAGAAGGTTGCCCCAAGATAACTGATTGGGAACTGCACTGAGTGTCTTCGTATGGTTGTCTGCTGCTTCTTGCATGACTCTTAGAATTTCATGAAAATGATTTTCGGTTTTCGAAGTTAATGGATGTCTCTCCTTTGGGTCTTTGGAGATATCAAAGAGAAGGGGTGGATTATGACGGGTGACGTAATGCCCATTGCAAAAGCACACATGGGTTGGAAAACAGCCATTGGAATCATCTGGTTTAAACTTTGGTGTGAAGAAAAAAGCTTTCCAGATAGATGTGCCTACAATAAAAAAAAAAAAGACAAAAACTGATGGTGTAATCACAAAAAAATAAAAAATAGATATTATCAAACTACAGTGAGTACTTACCATTGCTAGCACATGACATATATTTCTTATGAACTCCCAATAAACAAGACAAAATATTTGCCAAGAAATTACTGTAATCTCAGATTTTCACATAGCAACCTAGGTAAAGATCTGTGAATCTGTCAGTGTGAGCAGCCCTTTCATTGGTTTAGGACACTCACTATGCCTCTACAACTCAGACAATGGTCTTAGTGAGTTTCCAGAGCCAAACAATTCACTACTAAGTGAACAACTGTGTGACAAGTGTTTCTACATTTAGCTAGATTGGTTTTCAGACTTAACAGACATAATAAATACGACCATTCTAAATTTTTTGTTTTTTCTGACTTGTTACGACTTGCCAGGGATTGCTCTTTGTTGATAGCCTTTAAGAACTGAGTATCACTCCAATAGCATAATATGGCTAAGTGTGGACCTGCAATTGTCTTTATTGGGAAAGCTTATATAAAATTACATAAAACTGTAAAATATGAAAAAAAAGCTCCAAATTCTGTTGTCATTTCAAAACTTTTATATTCTGAGTTACAGCAAGAAGCATTAACAAATGCAACTTTGAGCAAATTAAATTGTTCATTAAAGGAAAGAACAACTTTTTTACTGAGGCAAAATGGAATCTGATAGAATTATTGCCTGGAGTCTTGAACTTCTTAATGTTTATAGAAAATAGATTTGCCAGTATTATAATAGGTTATGGGGCAATTTCTCAATTTCATCTCATACATCTATGGACTAGCATTTTTGGGGGGAGCTGAATGTTATCAAAGGAAATGTTTCATTGAATGTTAGAAAGAAGTATGAAAATCTTGTTACCCAGCATAATAACCTGGGTCATTCAAAACCCTTCAACTTTCCTTACCTTCTCTATATTTAACCAGTTGCTAAGTCTTAGAGATTTTATCCCTACAACATCTCTCACATCTCTCCTGTCCATTCATGGTCACCACACTATATCAGCCCTCATTTCTCTCATAAGCTACTGTAATAGCCTTCTAAATGTCTCTGTAACAACAGTGTCTTTACTCTCCAACCTATCTTCCACATAGCTGTGAAGTTAATATTCCTCAAGTACAGATCTGACCATGTCACTCCCCTGCTACAGAAGCTTCAGGGCTCCCTTTTGTTCTATAACAAAATGCAAACTTCTCTGTTTATATTTTTGGGGGGGTGAGGCAATTGGGGTTAAGTGACTTGCCCAGGATCACATAGCTACTAAGTGTCAAGCATCTGAGGCCGGATCTGAACTCAGGTCCTCCTGACTCCAAGGCCAGAGTGCTTTCCACTACACCACCTAGCTGCCCCTGTTTATAATTTTAAATCCTTAATTATGTAGCTCAAAACTAACTTTCAGGGGCAGCTAGGTGGTGTAGTGGAAAGCGCTCCGGCCTTGGAGTCAGGAGGACCTGAGTTCAGATCCAGCCTCAGACGCTTGACACTTACTAGCTGTATGACCCTGGGCAAGTCACTTAACCCCACTGCCTAACCAAAAAACAAACAAAAAACAACTAACTTTCTAAACTAAATTTACATCATCCCTTCCCCTCCCCTAAAAAAACCAATATTCCAGTCAAACTGGACTTTCTGCTGTTCACGGTTCATGACATCCTTTGCAAAGGCTATTCCTTATGCCTCAGATGTTCTTCCTCTCCACCTTCAATTCTGGAATTCCTAGCTTCTTTCAAAATAAATTTCAATGGCCAGCTACCATGAGATGTTTCTCATCTTCTCTGCAGCTATCACTGTCTCTTCTCCATCACTATCCTCCAACTACTTCATGCTTACTTTTATATGCATTTTGTTTTTGAGAGTCAGTAAGGAAGATTTGGGTTTGTTGTATTGACACATCCCGGCTGAGTGATCCTGGGCAAATCATTGAAATTTCATTGGCTCAGACAATTATTTAAGAGTAAATTTTAGAGAAGGTGCTGATTTTCATTAGTAGAGAGAATTTTCTCATTGGGAATGTCTTATACCTGTGGAGTCACAGGTCTGATATACCTACACACAATTAGATTTATTTATTTGCGTACATGTTGTTTCAGTCTCTTCTCCATCCTGGTCTCCCTCCTTCCATAGAATGTAAGCTCCTTGAAAGGCTATTTTTCTTTGTCTTTGCAACCTTATCACCTAGTATGGTCTCTGGCTCAGGGAAGATGTAAACAAATGCTTGCTGAGTTGTATGGGCATGTCATTTAAACTAGCTACTGATTAGGGAAAGATGTGGCACAAACAGGGAAGTGGGAGAAGGAAAGAATTTTTGGTAGCATTTTTAGTGTGAGAAAAGGCAAAAGATGTGGGAAAGGACAGGACATGTTTGAAAAATGATAAACAGTTCAAGTTGGCTGAAACACAGAGTTTGTGAAAGGGATTACTGGAAGATAAGGCTAACGAGGCAGACTGAGGCTGAATTACAGAGGGCTTTAAATCCTAAATTGAGTTTGGACTTTATTTCATTTGCAGGGGTGTGTGTGTGTGTGTGTGTGTGTGTGTTTGTACATATATATATAATTTCTTATGACAGCTTATTACAATCCTCAGTATAAGTTTAGCAAGAAGAATAAAAGCCTGGATCTAGAGTTGGAAGAAACCTTAGAGGTAATTTAGTCCAACTCCTTCATTATCCCAAGAGGCTAAATGACTTGTTCAAAGTCACACAGGGAGTATAAATATCAGATGCAGGATATGAACCGAGGTCCTCTTCCTCCAGAGCCAGTGTTCTTTCCTATGTACTGAATAGGAAGTGAGTGTTCTGTCACTATTTATGTATTGAGCACATTCAGCTTCTAAAGATTAGGTCAGGGTGAAACACAGATGATTCAGACTACAAAGAGAATTTAGGGACATAGAAACTAAGAATCCGTAACAGCCTTAAAAGTAAGTCAGTAACCTTAAGATTCTTTGCATCCTCCTCCTTCATTCTTCCCACATATGACACATTAGTTTCAGGAGCTTATTCAACGACAAGCTGACAGTAAGGAAATTTTCTAGTTCACTTAGACTCTTCTTACACTCAGTAATCAGGGACAGCTGGGTGAAGGTTGTTACAGAATGAGGGGGGAAAAAAATACTCTAATGGTTCCTTACAACATTACAAACTGGGAGGATGTTTTAAACTTGACATTTCTTCAAGTTACAATGTGTGCAAAATTCTGAGAGAGTGCTGGCTCCCAGAATAGAGTGACATTTTTAAGGGCCTATAACTTCCATTTTCTTTTGAAAACTCCTACTCATTTATTGAAATATGGTTCAATTCTTCCATTTTTATGTCAATTGAAAGATTAACATAAGGATCTGTCAAAAAGTATCAAAAGATACTTTAGGTATCTTTACTGGGAAGGCCAATGCCAGTTATTATGCTGAGCTTTATGTCTGTAGAATTTACATATATAATATAGAAATATTAATTGAAAATTATTCAGTAACATTAAAGATTTAAGAATTTAACAAGATCTAAGATCTAAGAATATCTAAGAATTAAGAACTATTTAAAAACGAAAAGGTAGAGAGGCTAACTATATTTTGTAATATTTCTTATTTGAGCAACATAGGCTCAATTAAACAATAAAAAGAAGATATCAACATTTAATTGCTGACATGGTCATATACGGCCTCAATTTCCTTTATTTCGCTACATTCTTCTGTTCTTTAGCAATCAGGGATTGTAAATGCTTAAGTATATTCTTTGATAGGAAGGCAATAAATGCCCAGTCATTTAGTGGACTTTTACTGACATTTTCAACGCACATATCATTTGCTTGAAGTATTCAGTTTTGCTTATGTTTAGAAAACATTTTTATTTTCAGTTCCTTCTTTTCACAGAAGAAATGTTTATGGACAACCCAGGAAGTAATTTGACTTATTTTCTTTTAGCTAGTGAAATCATTTAAAATGAGGATCACACTCTTAAAATAAAAAAGGCAGTTGTGTATGTGCATGTTTCATAATTATTAGTGGACTCTGATGAATGAAACCACTATTTCCAGCAGGGGCTAGGAGAGGAGTCAGGGAGAATAACAGCAACATCTGAGGCTCAAACTATGTGTCAGTAAATTAACAATACATATTTAGTACCTCCTTGGTGAAAAGAACTCATTGTATGACAGGGTATTTGTGTATAACGGTGTGTGTGTGTGTGTACCAGCTCTTTAGAAAGCTGCCCTGCTTTTGTTCAGCCAAGACTTGCTTTACAAAACTTTGCCTTATACCCTATGAACATGATCCAATATGGCAGCCTAGTATTTCAGAAATGATACATTTCTCCAACTTAGGGAAGGAGAATAGGGCACAAAATCAGGGCACTACATCATTACAATTCACCCACAGTACAGACAAACCTCTCTCTCTCATACATACATATGTATGTATATATTTCATTTTTTAAAACAGGTAGAAAGGAACCTCATATGAAAAAAGTCCCAAAGTTAATATGAAGGCACACAAGATATAATGTAGTTGATAAGATATAATGTTGACAAAAACTTAAATGTCATTTTGTAATGGTTGTGTCTTTGTCTAACATCAGTGGTAAATTTCAAATAGTCTGATTTCAATCATCCCCAAATATTATTAAATAGTTAAATAGCTAAAACTATTTGGAGAAACAACTATGACAATCCCTAAAAATGTGAACAATACTATGACAAAGGTTATAATCCACTTTGTTTATATGATTTTTAAGGATGGTGAGCATGTTATGAAAGACAGCATTTTCTTTTTCCATTGAGGAAACAGGGTATCTACATACGTCACTTCATTAGTACTGTGAGAGCAGGCCTCAACCGATTCTTTGTATCTCTCCATATGGACTAGCAGAGTTTCTTTGGTTCTATAACTATATTAGGTCACATTTCCATAGAATTTTTATAAAGTTTACAGAGTGGTTTTCTTAATATAACCCTGTGAAGTAGGTAGTGGA